AGAAGTTCCCTCGTAAAAAAATGATAGTTCAACTATCAAACTCTCTTTTGTAATATCTCTCATTTTCTATAATATTTAAACAAAAAAGGATATAAAAAAGTCAGCAATCAATGTGACCGCAACAGCGAAAATATCTCTTCGATGTAGGAACTGCAAAGATTTTGCTAGCTAGCAAGGTTATCTTGCGTTGACGTTTTATTATAAAAACTTTTGAGATTTGGTATAAACTAAGGGGTATATTGAGTTAAATTGTGCAAAATGAAACAATGAAATAAAACGTCGCAGTTAGATGATATACAAGGCCTTCACATGTTGATTTAATCTAAAAATCTTACTTACGGTTAAATTTGAATCTTATGACACTTGCATTAGAATTTCAACTTAATTAGAAAAGTATACTTGGTCTTAAAATATCTATAAAATATCTTAAGAATCCAAATATTTATTCCTCAAATAATCTTAACAACCCCTTAGAATTTCAGTATAGTTATTAGAGAACATAAGATAAAGCAGGGAGAATTCAGGATAATATTTTGGGTAATTTGTATAAATAATTTGTTTATTTTTTCCGGATCGTATGGAATATTTTTGTAATAGGAAAGTTTTCAGTTTTATAAATCTTCATGTTATATGTTTTTTATGCTGTCTTATGTTCTATTAATTTATAGAGACGGGTGAACTAAAAACCCCTCTTTATAAAAATTATGAAAGACATATGGTATCAAATCAATATATAACAAAAATATTGACAAATTCATTAATAGTATTTTAAGAGGAAGACTAATTCATCAACTTTAAATATAATTTGACACTACTATAATTTTACTTATATGATTTTAGGATTAATTTTAAAAGAACCCCCTCAACTATGGTGGATGTCTTAGAGAACCCCTTTTAACTATTTTAATTTGAGAAAACCCTCCTAAAATTTGAGCATATTATAGATAACCCTACTCAGCTCTAAAAATAAAAGAAAACCCCTGAAATATGGGGTATCTCCCAAAACCCTCATAATCTCACACTTTTCTCACCAAACCCCCAGACATCATTTCAAAATGTAAAATAAATGAAATATCCTTTTGAAAACCAACCCATTTAATTACAAAGAAACCCCAACTGATAAAAAAGGAATTATCTTAAATTTTCAATGCTTTTTGCCCTCTTTCTCCTCTCTTTCTCTTATCCTAAAAAATCAGAGTATTTTTTTTATGATTAAGGGGTATTTTGGTCTTTCATTAGTCACCTACTTGTCATGTGACGTGCTATACCTAATAATGTTAGCTTTCAAGGTGTAAAGTGAGAAGAATTCATGAGGATTTCTCGAATTTTCAAACTTGAAGGGGGTTATCAACAATAAGTTCAAACTTGAGTTCTCAAACTAAAATAGTTGAGGGGGGTTTTCTGAGACACCCCATAAGTATTCCGGTAAAAAGAGAACTATTTTCAATTTTAGATGCTTTTTGCCCTCTGTCTCTCTCTTATCATAAAAAATCGGAATACTTTTTTATGATTGAGGGGTATCTTGGTCTTTTCTCAGTCACATATTTGTCATGTGACTGGTTCGACCTAACAATGTTAGCTTTCATGGCGCAAAATGAGAAGAGTTTATAGAGATTTCAAATTCTCAAACTTGAGAGGAGTTGCCTACAGTAAACTCAAACTTGAGGGGTTTTCTCAAATTAAAATAGTTGAGGGTTTTTTTGAGACACCCCATATTTGAAAGGGTTAGGGGGCTTAGTGAGAAAAGTTCACATGATTATCTCAAATTTTCATAGTTGAGGGCAGTTATCTACAATATGCTAAACTTGAGAGAAGTTTTCTCAAATTAAAATAGTTGATGCGTGGTTTCTAAAATTAATCCATGATTTCATGTTGAGGGGGGGGGGGGTTTTTTTATCATTTCAAACGCAAAATAATTGAAATATGTTCTTGAAAATCAACCAATTCAATTACAAAGAAACCGCCAACTGGTAAAAACGAACTATTTTAAAATTTGTAATGTTTTTTTGCCCTCTTTCTCCTCTCTCTCTCTCTCTCTCTCTCTTATTCTAAAAAAATCAGAGTAATTTTTTATGATTGAGGGGTAGTCATGCATGCTAGACCTAACAATGTTAACATTGAGGGCGTAAAGCGAGGAGGAGTTCGTGGAGATTTCTCAAAATGTCAAACTTGAGGAGGGTGATCCTCAAATTAATTTTTTTTTTTTTTTTGGGGGTGGGGGGGGTTGGCGGTAGGGGTGTATGAGACATGCTATATCTGAGGAGGTTTAAGTGAGGAAAGTTCAAGGGGTCATCTTAAATTTTCATAGTTAGGGGGGTTATCTACGGTATGTTCAAACTTGAGGGGGATTTTCTCAAATTAATATAGTTGAGGGGGTTCTAAGATTAAACCATGATTTATATATAGAGCTCTTAACATGGGGTTTTCTTTAATTTCTATATTTAAATATATAATTATGAGATTTTTTAATTATGGATAGTTATAATTTGATTAAGGATTACAAAATATTTGATTATTAGAATTCTAGTTATGGATAGTTTTAATTTGATGAGAATTCTTAGGTGAATTTAAGATTAGGTGTCAACATGTCATATTCTGATTTAATAAAGAGACATGTGGATACTTATGATATGACACATGTCAACTTTTTGTGTTTATAATATGACAAATGCCAATTTTCTATGCCTTTAGGAATTCCATCGATGTCTCTCTCTGTATAAATAAGTATTAATCCCGTGCTTGCACAAATTGTTTTTTTTTTCTTTGGTTTATACGCCCTTTGAATATGTTAAGCTATCCTAGTGTGATAAGAGGCATGCTTGTTATATATTTTTTAGACTATAACTTACAAATCATCTATAACTAATACATTAAATGTTTATGAAGGAAGAGACAATGAGTACCTCTTTTTGCTATGTTATGAGAAGAAAAGAATAGAGTTTTTTTATCAGTTAAATTAGATAGTTTGAGTGGTAGGGCTTTTCTTAGATAAATTACAATTTCAAGTTTAAAATTCAAAAATAGATGGCTTAGCCATCAGTCTTCTTTATAAATCTAAATGAATACTTACGATTTTTAAAAAACTAAAATACAATTTGGATTTCAATGTCCCGAGATTTCAATCAATGCTCATGTTTGGTTCACCCGGAATTTAGAAACGAATGAGATTAGGACTTTCCTCTAAATCCCCAAAATGGGTAATAGGAAGTTCCATTATCCCCTACTATTAAGGACATAGGACTTCCCATAACTATTATACTCCTACGTTATGCATTCCCCACACCAATGATATATTACAATATTATAATATAATATGTTAAATTTGGTGGCAATTTTAGAATTTTTTAACCGCTGTTTCTAAAGTTTTGAGGATTGTTTGTAATTTTAAAACTTTCAAGGGAGTTATTATATAGTTTTCAGGGGACTGTTTTGTTAAGTTTTTAATGAGTTATTTGTAATTTACAAAACTTTTAGGGTGAATTGAAATTTTTTTGGGGTGTTTTTGTAATTTTAAAAACTTTCAAGATGTTTGTAAAATTTATAAGGAGTTTTTTGTAATATTTTGAAATTTACAGAATAATGTTTATTATTTCAGCAACTTTCATGGTACTATTTATAAAATTTTCAAATTGTTCGTAAAATTTTCAAGGGGGTATTTATAATTTTTGAAACTTTCAATGAGCTGGTTGTAAAATTTGTAGGGTTTTGTTGGTAAAACTTTAGGGGCTATTTATAAATTTTGAACTTTTCAGAGGACTGTAATTTTTGGATTTTCTAGGACTTGTTTGTAATTTATGGATTTAAAAGGAGTATTTTATAATTTTTTTGAAGATTGTGGTGCTATTTGTAATTCCCAGATATTTCTTTGAGGTTTATTTTAAATTTTTTAATCTTAGGCAGTTGTTTGCATTTTTCATAGGGCTATTTGTAATTTTCAAAATTTGTGTGGTAATTGTAGTTTTGAAACTTTAAAGGGGTCATTTGCAAAACTTTTAGGGAGTCGTTTTTAATTTTCAAAATTTTAAGCAGGGTGTTTGTTATTTTCAAAAAATTCGTGGGGCTAGTTGTAAACTTTTAAAAGGGTTGTTTGTAAAATTTTCAAGGTGACATTTGTAGTTTTTGAAACATTTAAGGGGTTGGTTGTAACATTTTCAAGGGGTCGTTTATAGAATTTTAGGAGGCTATTTGTATTTTTTGAACTTTTCATAGGACTTTTGTAATTTTTAAATTTTCTAGGAATTGTTTGTAATATATGGATTTTAAAAGTGGAAATTTAAAATTTTCATAATTTTATGGTGCTTTTTAGATTTTTTGGATTTTTTCTGGGGTTTACTTGTAGTATTGAATCTTAAGGGGTTGTTTGCAAATTTTGATAATTTATGGATCTAATTGAAATTTTAGATTTTAGGAGGTTGTTTCTAATTTTTTTGATCTCAGAGTGTAGTTTATAATTTTTGAATTTTTATAGGATTGTTTGTAATTTTTGGATTTTAAAAGGTCGTAGTTGGTAATTTTCTAATATTGAAAACCCTCATATAAATGAGGGCTTGATTAAGATAATTTTCAGATTATGGATAGTTTTAGTTTGATAAGAATTCTTAGGTAAAGAGGATAAGGAATGAGGTTTTGATTATTAGAAATTTCTAATTTTCAATTGTTTTAATTTGATTAGGATTCTTAAGTGAAGATAGGATTAGGTGTCAACCTGTCAATTTCTGATAGGATAGATGGACACATGACATTTTTGTTGACACATGGCATGTTTTTATCGATTTATATATAAAGAAGGGATTTAATTATCAGTTTTTTTTAATTATGGAGGGTTATAATTGATTAGGATTACCAAATATTTGATCATTGGAATTTTCAAGTTAGGGATAGTTTTAAATTGATAAGAATTTTTAATTGGGTGAAGAGAATATTATGCGTCCACATGTTAATTTCTGATAGGATAGGAGACATGACTATTTTTTTTTGTATGACACATGTCACAAATTTAGATGATTCATGTCAGTTTTTTTGTATGTTTAGAAGAACCACTAATTTCTCATTATATAAAATGGATATCTAGTTTATATCTTTGTTTAAATTTATTTTATTGTGCTTCTAAGGTGTCAAACTATGGGACTGGTTTAAGCAGCTTCAACAACCAGAATGGTTATAGCGGAGTAAAAGATGTTTTGAAGAATGTTTATAGGGAAGGGGGAGCACGTTCTCTCTATCGTGGAGTAGGTATGGTTGTACTACCTTCCACAATATTTTTTGTCTAATTTTTAGTGCTCCTTTAAGTTTTCATATTTGTTTTTTCATTAATAACTGAACAAGACTATGAATCATCCATGTGAGAAAAAAAAAGTGAATGTAGTCATAAATTCTTATTGGTTATCATCTACTTAGCAAAACGATTTCGTCATCCTGAGAAATTTTATAACTAGTCTTCGCTTTAGCACTTGTAGGTTAAGGGGGAAACTTTTAATTTATGTTGTCCATTGAATAAATATGATTTCTGCCTGCTAGATGGATCCATATTGTTTGTTTCGTCCTGGTTACATCAAGCTACAATTTTGCTTTGCTTGGTCAACAGGAGATGGAAGATAGAAAATAGTGGCCCTTCTTATCAATGATTATGAGTAGGTGACTAGTTAATGATTAAAATAGGGTGGTAACTGAAGCCTTATATATTCATGTGTAAAACTTTCCAAGACCAAGGTTCTCCACGAAATTGCTTTTATATGTTTAAGTTAATTTTATATCTTCAGCTATTAAAATGGTGGCTGCATCTTGCAACCTTAAGGTTTTAGGATATATGTATTAGGGAGCCTACTCCCCACCACCCCACCCAAAAAAAAGAGAGTAGGGAGCCTACTTTTTTTATTTATTTTTTTTATTGTCTTCTTGCTTTGCATATTGTGGAAGTGTATGAGCAGTGGTGTCAATGCATCCTTTTTTTTTCTTTTGGAAAAAGAACCGCAGCGGGAAGCACTGATCTGGCTGTGAAATGAAATAAGCCATAAAATATTTTTGAAAAAACTTGTAAGCAATAGACAGACACGTATGTGCTCCTGCATGCATGTGGATGCACAGGAAGTAGAGGTTTCAATGCATACTTCATTCTTTTTTCATTTGAAACTGGTCCCAGCATGAAGCACTGATTTGGCTGATCCCAGTTACTTGAATACACATACATACACACATACACTCACACTCACACTCACACGTGTGTGTGTATATGCGCACACACACATGTATATATATGTATATGTCTATATCCTCTCATCTGTCCATACAGTATTCCCCACGTGCTAACTCTGTCGTATCAAGGCTAAAACAGTCATGGTCACGATTGGTATTAGAGCCAAGTAGTATTCCCCACGTGCTAGCTCTGTCGTGTCAAGGCTAAACAGTCGTGGTCACGATTGGTATTAGAGCCAAGTTCGCCGGTGGAGGAGTTGGTCTGTTGTAGGGAGAACATGCCCTGGGATCTCCTTGGTATATCCCGACTTGACAATATTGCATGAAACAACTCATGCCTAGTATGCCTGCTTGAACTACAATAAAACAATTGTAGATATTTGTAGTAAAAAACTACTGTAATATTATATGCTTGGGTTCTAACATCTTTAATTTTAAGTTTCTTATTTTTTATGCTTTAAACCTTACATTGAGTTATTTTGTTCTTACATGCTAGTATGATCTAGAACTTTTAACACATTTTAGTGTTCTTAGTTCTCCTATTACCTGTTGCAGTCGCGACTTACACAGCTTTGTTCTGTGTTTAGCCGGTGTTGTTGATTGGTAAGGATATTGCGGACTGTTTGAGAAAACTTTTATTTGCTTAATATCTAGGTTATTTACTTTGCTTCTTTTTTAAGACTTTATTCCCTTAACTAACGGTTGTAGTTTACACAGTTTCTGCCCGTTAGCTAAGTTTGCGTTTAGGGCTTATCCATCCGTGTTTATCCATTGCTGTTGATAGGATAGGTTTAAGCACTCTTTAAGATACCTAAGTCTCGAAGCTGTCTTTCCTTAGATAAAAAGAAACATTATTCATTATGTGAAGACTATGTCAGTTAAAAATTCAAAATCTCTAAATTATGAAGTTATTAACTGAACATTCAAAATTGGAAAATGTCTAAAGCCAGTGCTAATGACATTTATTGTAAAGAAAGTTTTAAACTAAAAACTACATATCATGTTAAAACTATTGAAAAAACAAAAACTGTAACTTCTTACACAGAAAAGTTACAATTACTTAGTGATAAATATATTTAAAAAACCATTGAAGATCCTACTCTTAAAGTCCTTCATCTTGACCTCGTTCAAGTATCCATTAGGCATCTTATTAGAAATAGTCTTAACACTTCTAATCTTGTTTGCCTACGTGATGGAAGATTTTTTATTTTTTGGGACTCTTTAATTGGTTTAATTGAGTCAAGTTTAAGCAATGGTCCTATATTCTTCAATGCTTTTCCAAATTTCTCCGTTTACTTGTCGGACATTAGAATTTTTTAAGTCTTAACTTTGAATCTTCAATCTTCTGGATTTAACATGGATTTCAATCCTGAAAATATAGCTTTGACCTATAGAATTTGTTACAAAACTATGAATACTCTCACACCATTAACAAAGGTTAATACTGAGAAAAGAGCTACTATTTTGTTTCATACTTACGAAAAAAAATAACATGAAGACCTCAAAATGGAATGAAATTCAACTTCCTTCTATTTTGAAATTAAATCAAGTAATCGAACCTAAGCCACTTAAAGATTCTAACTTTCAAAAAATTGTCGAACGTTCCAATGATGACGTAGAAGTCAATTTTTCTTCTTTTAGAAAGATCACTCTTGCATCTGATGATGAGCGTTGTGCCCTAGTTTCTTAGATTCCTACGCGAGAATTTTTTTTCTAAAAATAGAATACCTATAGGAATTACTTATAACCTTGAGCCAATTGTTATATATATGATTCTCATCCATCTGGGTTAAGTAATTATGTTACTAATGATTTTGATGACATGCCTACTTTCGAGCCTAATATTATGACCGTATAGAAAAAAAATACCTTTTTTATGGTATGAGGTCATTTACGTTGAAGATCTAAAACATTCCCTTAAGCATTTACCTATTGAAAACCATACATATATGTTAGAAGGAATTTCTAACACATGGGAAATAGAAAAATATAAAGAAATTGAGTCTTTGCATCTACCTCTTGAACCAGTAAAACTTGGTAAAGGGAAAGAAGAAGCCAATGCTTTTCCTATTAAAACCATTGAACCTAATTTCAACACTGCCCGACAAGAGCATAACAACTCCCTCGTAATTGAACAAAATAACTTTACTAATTAAATTTTAAGAACAAGTTAAGGAAGTTTTTACTAGATTATCTTTAATGAGTTCTTCAATTTCTTCTTTACGGAGAGAAAAGATTTTCATCCATTTGGATCGGAATGTTATCTATTATCAAAAGATATACGAGAAAATTCTTTTATATTAACTTTAACAATATAACTTTATTATTAAGACAATTCATGATAATAAAAGATTTTTATGTTAAACTATCTTTAATAAGTTCTTCAATTTCTTCTCTACAGAGAAACGATTTTCATAATAATAAAAGGAATGTCCGTTTCTCTTAAATAAAAGAAATTTCTCCTTTAACTTTCGATAATAGATACTTTAACATTCCAGTCCAAATGGATGAAAATCTTCTTTCTGTAAAGAAGAAATTGAAGAATTCATTAAAGATAATCTAATAAAAACTTCATTGACTTCTTCTTTTTCTTTACCAAATTTTATTGGTAAAGTTATTTTGTTCAATTACCCGGGAGATGTTATGCTCTTGTCGGGTAATGTTGGAACTAGGTTCAATGGTTTTAATAGGAACAGCCTTGGCTTCTTCTTTTCTTTTACTAAGTTTTATTGGTTCAAGAGGTAGATGCAAAAACTCAATTTCTTTATATTTTTCTATTTTCCATGTGTTAGAAATTCCTTTTAACATATATGCATGGTTTTCAATAGGTAAATGCTTAAGGGACTTTTTTAGATCTTCAACGTGAATGACCTCATACTATAAAAAAGGTATACATATTTTTCTAATAGTACACATACGATCATAATATAAGGCTTGAATGGATGATCTAAAATCTTCTTCATAAGTTTTAAAAAACCATTCTTTCTTGTGTTGATTTTCGGGAGAGTTGAAGTCTTTTCTGAGAAAATCTTTATTAATCTCGAAAGGAGGCCTGTCATCAAAATCATTAATAACATTAATACTTAACTCAGATGGATTAGAATCATCATAAATAAGAGTTGGATCAAGGTTATATTTAATTCCTATGGGTTTTCTGTTTTTTTTAGAAAATTCTTTTTCTCGATTAGGAATCAAATAAACTGAGGCAAAAAATCCTTTTGAAAGAAGAAAAGGTTGCTTCTATGTCATCATTAGGATGTTCGATAATTTTTTGAAAGTTAGAATTTTCAGGTGGGTTTAAGTTTGATTACTTGATTTAATTTCAAAACAGAAGGAAGTTGAATTTCATTCCATTTTAAGGTCTTTGGAACAATCAGATTATTTTTGCATGAGCATGAAACAAAGTAGTAGCTCATTTCTCAGGATTAACATTTGCTAATGTTGTGAGAGTATTCATATTTTTGTAACATATTCTATAGGTTAAAGCTATATTTTCATAATTGAAATCCATGTTAAATCAAGAAGATGGAAGATTCAAAGTTAAGACTTAAAGAATTCCAGTGCCCGACAAGGAAACAAAGAAATTTAGGAAAACATTGAGGAATATAAGAACATTGCTTAAATTCAACTCAATTAAACCAATTAAAGAGTCCAAAAAAATAGAAAATCTTCCATCACGTAGGCAAATAAGAACAGAAGTGTTAAGACCATTTCTAGTAAGAGGCCTAATGGACAATTGAACGAGGCCACGATGAAGGAATTTAAGAGTAGGATCTTCAGTGGTTTTTTAAATATCTTTATGACCAAGTAATTGTAACTTTTCTGTGTGAGAGGTTAAAATTTTTATTTTTTTCCAATGGTTTTTAGTTTAAAACTTTCTTTACAATAAATGTCATTAGTATTGACTTTAGGCATTTTTCAATTTTGATTGCTTTGGTCAATAACTTCATAGTTTAGAGATTTTGAATTTTTAACTGACATTGTCTTCACATAAGGATTCTTTTTATCTGAGGAAATATAGCTTAGATACTTAGGCGTCT